AATAAAACTTATATTAGTCTTTCAAAAACCAACGTTTGCCTAACTTAGAACCAGTGGCCTGAACTTAAAATAATTCACCTTAACTAACCTCTCACCAAAGTTTTTAGTAATTTCTCCTAAAATGCTCAGCTTTGGATCATATAATGCCCCAGGTTCACCTCTGAAGTTTAGTACTTGATGTTCTGCCAGTTTTTCCCTTCCTGGGAATCCTTCACTTTTGGATGTTTCTGCTCAAACATCCTAAAACCCTTCTCTAGAGGCAAGCCCAATAGCCTGGCTTCAAACAGGATTTTTTTATTATTATTATTATCATCATTATTATTCATTCTCATTCTCTGTCTCTCTCTGTCTCTCTCTGTCTCTCTGTCTCTCTCTCTCTCTCTCTCTCTCTCTCTCTCTCTCTGCCACAGCACATGTGTAGAGGTAGGTCAGAAGACAACTCTGGAGTCATTTCTCTCCTTCCACCTTTATGTGTGAATTCTAAGGACCAAACTCCAATTGTCAGGCCTGTGCAGCAAGTGCCTTTACCTGCTGACCTGTCTTGCTGGCCCTCAAACAGGACTTTAAAGGCTGATCTTGCAAAAGCTACCATGGATACCCCCTGCTCTCCCATGTCCCCCATGCTGTGGTTGGCTGTGGTTTTCCCCCAGAAGGATTCATGTGTTAAATAATCCTCAGCGTGAGGCCTTAAGAGGTGGGGCCTAGTGGAAGGTTATTAGGTCAGTTTGCAAGCATGCCCTCAGAAGGGATTGTGGGTCCTCGATCTCCCTCTGAATTCCTGCTTTATAAAGTAATCTGCCCCTTTCACACACACACCATCCATAATGCCACCCACCATCACTAGACGCCAAATATATCAGGCTGCCTGATTTTTATCTTTGTAAACCTCTTGCCTTTAAAATTTTACTCAGGGGCTGGAGAAATGGCTCAGGGGTTAGAGCACTGGCTGCTCTTGCAGAGGACCTGGGTTCGATCCCTAGCACCCACATGGTGACTGACAACTGTCCTAACATCTGGTCTTGAAGCCATAACTGATGCCCATCATCTCCTTCCTCTACTCCCTTCAGATTCCCTTTATCATTTGCAAGCCCCTTTCTTGGTCCAAATGTCTTATCTGGTGAGGAGACCCAGACTCTCACCCCAAAGTCTCAGCCTCTGGTCACCATGCACTTCTCAGGTCATGGCTACTGCTCTTGTCCGCTTATCGTCAAAACTGGAGGAGAGGATGATGAGATGCTTAAATGGAGTGCCTTGTAATGCTGGAAAGAATGCAAGGGGAGAAAAGACCCCAAAATGTGGAGAAATGACAGGACTCAGCATACGAGTCAAAGAATGACCAAAGGCCAAAGCTGGAATGATTTTAGAGAGCAAAATAAACTTGGAGTATAACCTAAAGCATAAAATTAGTATCTATACATTCAGACTAATATAAATGGCTGGATAAACTGGGGAAATTAGACAAATCTATACAGAGAACTTTTTAAAATATTTTATTATTTTTATTTTATGTGTATGAACGCATTGCCTGCATGCATGTAAGTGCACCCATGTCGTGTAGTGCCCATGGAGGTCAGAAGAGGTGTCCTATCCCTTGGAACTGGAGTTTCAGATTGTTGTCAGCTGCCATGTGGGTACTGGGATTCAAACCCGGGTCCTCTGCAAGAGCAGTCAGTGCCATTAACCTCTGAGCCATATCTCCAGCCTCTGTACAGAGAACTTCTAAACAATGTATTACATTTTTTTCCTACTGTGTATATATGTGTGGGGCACACGTGGAGGTCAAAGGGCAACCTGCAGGAGTTTGTTTTCTCATTCCACCATGTGCATGCCAGAGATCAAATTCAGGTCATCAGGCTTAGCAGCAAGTGCCTCTATCCACTGGACCATCTTGCCCACCCCCAATTTATGTAGATACTCTAAGAGTGGTGGAAAGTAGCTTCCTACTTCTTAAGTGGAGGCTGTAAACAGTGACTTTCCTCTGAAGACTACTGGGCAGAAATGGGAAATGGGCACACTTTACAGGGGAGGAAAGTGAGAAACCCTACTTCAGCCAGGAGGTCAAAGTCAACAGCAATGAAGTCAACCTCACTGTGGGTTTGGCAGCTGGTACACTTAAACCAATGTGATGAACACGGCACTCTGCCTCTGTAGCCTTTCTTCCCCAAACTCAAAACCCCATGTCAGAATGAGGAAAACATAAAGTGAATTTGGAGACACTTCACAAAAGGCTTAACCAGTTTAACATTCATAGGGGAATAGTAAAACCACAGCATATCCATTTAAAATGACATTTATTCAAAGAACAATGTGCATGCTGTGCAGAGCATAAGCATGGTGACAAACCTGTAAGTTATAGTGTGATACAGGAATAAGAACAGGCCGGGTGTGGTGTTGCACATCTTTAATCCTAGCACTCAGGAGACAGGAGCAGGCCGATCTCTGAGTTCAAGACCAGCCTGGTCTACATAGTGAGTTCCAGGCCAGCTGGGGCTACAGTGATATCCTGTCTCAAAAAGACCAAAAAATAAAAAAATCAAAAATAAAATAAAAAAAACACACAAAAACCACCACCAACAAACCAAACCAAAATAACAACAAAACAGTTCATGGTCAATGAATAGGAATCCTGAAACACAACTTGTTAACTAACAGCCATTATGTGTTGGTCGGAAGACTCACTCTAAATATAGGCAGCACCTACCATGGGCTGGGGTCCCCCCAGACTGTGTATGAGGGGGAACGGGAGTAAGCATTGGCACTCCTAGCTCTGGGCTTCCCTGCTGCAGATACAACCTGAGCAGCTGCCTCCAGCTTTTGCTTCATGACAGACTGTACCCTCCAACTGGGGCCAGAATCAATGCTTCCTTCCTGGAACTGCTTTTGTCAGGCATTTTATCACAGCAACAAGACAAGGAACAAATATACTCACCAAAACAATTTTCATTTAACTTAAGTCACATTAAGTTTAAGGGGAAAAAAACACGCTCAGTGGAGTCTATCAGTGACTTGGTGACTAAGTCTGATGGATGAGATGCTGAAACAGGGCATGAGGTAAAAAGTAAAGCAGTTAAAGGATAAAAGGCTTAATTCATAACGTATCAACCTTGATACATTAACTGCAACAAATACACCATACTAATAATGTAAGTTAATGAAAGGAGAACTGTGTGTAGGATGTATGGGAACAAGGAACCACAACTGTCATTTTTCTAAAGCTATTCTAAAATCAAGTCCAGGCCAGGCATGGTGGCAGTGTATGCCTTTAATACCAGCACTGGGAAGAGAGGCAGGAGAATATCTGTGAGTTTGAAGCCAGCCTGGTCTACATAGCAAGTTCCAGGCCAGCCAGGGCTAATAGTAAGGTCCTGTCTAAAGAAAAGAAAGATCAAAGGCAACAAGTTGAAAAAAGAGATTTCCATTATATACCATCTGATCAGCTTAATTTGAAAAAAGAAAAAGCCAATTTGTGTTTCTATTCCCTGTGTATGTGCGCACACACACGTACACACACACACATACACAACTGATATCTATATGTAGAACTGTGTTGCCTAATATTGTGGTCACTAGCTACATGTAGCTATTGAAGTTAATTAAACCTAAACAAGTAAACATAATATTTCTTGTACTGAAAAATACCAGCCACATTTCTAGAGCTCAATACATTATAAGCAGAACATGTCAATGTGGAAATTGCTTTGGACGACAGTGCTCTAGGAAGCATATGTTAATTATGTAGCCACAGTGAAGAGGCACTTGAGATTATGTACCGCATAAGTGCTTACCTCTGGGGGTAGTTCAAGTTCATGCTTAATTTGCATGTGTGTGTATGTTGTGCTGGGGCTCAAATTCAGGGCTGCATACATTTAAAAAAAATACTGTGTAACATTTTTAAAATGGATATAGGATGACTTTTAATGGGTTATTTTCTTTAGTGTCCATGTTTTCCCACTTGTCCATTATTAGTATATTTAGCAAGCTGCCCCAAACCTTGGTATCTGACAAATAATTATGAAATTATTAACATCCCCCCAACACCACCCCCAAAAACTGTATCTTGAGTTAAAGAGAAAAAATGCTTACGAAAGGTTAAGTTAACTTGACTAGATGAGAAGTTCTTAGGAGATTAGTAATTCATGCTCTGGGTGTGTCTGTGAGGATGTTTCCAGAACAATTTGATCATGAGGACTCTGACCTAATCAGCAGATTAATACCTTGACAGATTTATAGAATTACAGCATTACTGGGAGATGGTGAAAGGCATTTGGTTGGTAGGGACTACCTAGAGGAAGTAGATTCCTGGGTGTATTTCTCTAGGGGTTGTATCTTGCCCTGGCTCCCTCCTCTATGCCCTTTTCTCTGTTTCCTGGCCTCCATAAAGGGAGCTGCTTTGCTTTGCCATCCCTTTTCCAACAACCTTTGAAGGTTGTAGCCCCAACCAAGTCTTTACCAGCCTTAAGCTGCTTTCCTTAGGCATTTGTTGGCCGTGATACCAAAGTCTGACCAGTGGAGCAGGTAAATACTAAAGTAACAGCCCTGCTTCAGATTTAAAAATAACTGTAAAACAAAAGTGATCCCGGGCTGGCTGGAGAGATGGCTCAGTTGGTAAAAATGTCTGCTGTATAAGGCAAAGCAGGGGGAGCGCGAATGTGTGTGCCTGTAACCTGAGTGCTGGTGGAGGACACCAACAGATCCTGGGGGCTCACTGGCCTGTCAGTCTAGCCAAAATGGCAAGGTCCAAGTTCAGTGAAAGACCATTTCTACGTGAACACACACACGCACACAAAACTGATCTCTTTCACCCTCTCATTCTCAGTCACTCCCTCACCCCACAAAGAGAAAGTTTAATTATTTTCTTTAGTGGATGGATGACTTTTAGACAGCAACATGTGTAAATGTATCTCTTTCTGCCCTTTTTAATCCTGGCAGAACTACACCGTCGACACATTCTTTAGCGGATGTTCACCAGACATTAAAGAAGTACACGATATCTCCAAAGGTGGAAAACAATATATTAATTTATTTCCAAGAAAAAAAAAAACAACACAACACAACATCAACAAAAACAAAGATGGATATAGTAGTTTGAGGGCATCTCCCTGGCTAACAGAAACTCACTAGCTCAAACGCTACGCTCTCCCAATATCAAAGAAAGACATGACCAACAACAGAGACGTAAACATCTGCTATTCCAGAAAAAATTCTCATTCTCCATGAGAAAGATCCAGTGTGAAAACATTTCTTCTTGGGTGCTTTCATTTAAATAACAGATTGAAGAGGCAATGTTTAGACTGAACCTTTGACCCTGGGTGCATTCTGTCTTTCAACATTACCTAATACAATTCCATTTTGCTTTTCAGTAACAAGAAAAAAAGTTTTATGTTAAAGTCATTCCCTTTCAATGTGATTAACATTCAGCAGGTACAGTTATAGAAAAAAGAATTAAACTGTGTTAACTACATGAATAATCATTTGGAGTAATTTTTCATTAGAATAAATAAAAACATAAGAGGATTACTAAAGCTGACTTCACATCTTTCCTTTTAGAAAAATTTTATTAGGTTTATTCTGAGAGGGAGAGGTGGGTGTACACATGCCATGTGTGTAGAGGTCAGAGGATAACTTGTGGAAGTGGGTTCTCTCCTTTAATCATGTGGGTTCCAGGGACTGAACGCAGGTTGTCAGCCTGCGTGGCAAGCACCCCCACCTGTTGAGCCATCTCACAGGTCCTGACTTCCCACTTTTCTGAATAACACAACTTTCTCTCAGTGTCAACACTAAAGCTGGTCTTAGACTACACCTTCTCTGGTATACTAAACATGGCTCTATTTTACCTTCTCTCAATAGCCCGCCTCAGGAAACGAGCTGAGAAGACAAGAGAGAACCCAAATTCATCTGCAAGATGCAGGTGTTCATGGGAACCTCACGACAGTGTTGTGAGATGCCAGTAAAATGGGGCATGGGGCATGGGGCATGACAGACTTGGCTTCTGCTTCCTCTGATTTCTAATTACTGATCTCTGTGGCCTCATGTCACAATATGTAACCACAGCTAGACATGTGTGAAGTGTAGTCATTTTGTAAGACTCCCTAGAGCAGACTTCCTAAAACTGACATCACTCCCAAGAGTTTTACAGTGAAAAAGTATCTGTCTCATTTCCCTCTTGTGTCTGTATCTCTTGTGGATTACAGGCATTCAAGAGATTTTCAAATGTAGGCTGGATGAATGATTCAGCATATGAATGAGAAATGACACAGATGTCCACCTGCAATCAAACACTCTTAAGAATCCAGACACTCTTGTAGGCACTGTGCATTGCAAAGCTATCCAGAGACTATCATGGTGTAGTTAATGCTGCGTAGGACACTGGGTCCTTATTTGTCAAGTAGAGATGGGGCCTCAGAAGAAGTAAATCATTCAGAGGTACCATACTTGAGACTAGAATCATGCAATAGCACCTTTCCTGTGGGAAAGAATTCCTTCATTCTTATGAGGGCTTTTCAATATTCTCAGTAGAAAACAGAAAAGAGAGATCAGAGAACATTCTGGAACAGAACACAGAACTATCCAGTGTCCCCGAGATCCTTTTCCCGCAGAGTGGCTCCTGTCTTAAAGTACCTGCGGCCTCTTGTTAATGGCTTTGTATTGTCTGCAGAACATCAGACACGAGTAAACTGAAAGTGTCAGTGATGAGACTCAGACCAAGACCTGTTTGTTAGAGGTGCTGGAGATGGAGCCCAAGTCAGACACATGAATGCCAGCCAAGTGCTCCAATGCTGAACTATAGATCCTCAGCCCTTCTAGATCTGTTCTTGACTAAAGGAAACTGGTAAGTTACCAGAAAGCTGTCTCTATGCCTGTGTGTGGCTGAGTACAGGGTAGCGACTAGGAATATGGGATTCAAGATCCCTTTTCAAAGGAACCAGGTTCTGATTTTCCTAGACGGTATTACCTACCAGTCTTCTTTCTAATAGGATACATTGATGTGATAAACATCTGGTGCAAAGATCTGATGGTATTTAAATTTAACAGTGATTACAGCAGTAGATTAAACAGAGGTGAGCAAGAAACCACCAGATATGGCAGCCAGGTGTGGTGCACACTTGTAATCCCTGCAGTTTGGGAGGCTGAGGCAGGAGGATTGCTGAGAATTCAAGACCAGCCTGTGCTACATGTTGAGGACCAGGCCAGCCAGGAATACATAGCAAGACCTTGTCTGAAAAAAACGAAGGAAGGGAGGGAGGGAGGAAGGGAGGGAGTTAAAAAAAACCTGCCAGGCTGGCCAAAATGCTGGGATAGCTTCACTCAGCCATCCTGTTAGTGTCTCACAGTGTCCAGTGGACTCAATATAGTTATGTACTCAGGTCCTTAAGGTTTTCTTGAAATTTTACTGTTTTCTTGAAACCATTTTCCCCAAACCCTCAGCATAGCCAAGGGCAAAGTCTCCTGGAAAGAAAGGATCTTCATTTTTCTTTCTGTCGGCATTTTTCGGTCAGGCGCGAGCTGCCCGTGGATCAAAAATACCAGCTGGGTTGTATTGCAGTTTCGCTCTGATTAAGGGTTCTTTCTCGAAGTCTTAGTTCTAGGCATTCCACAGTAAGAGGGTATGTATTGAGCTCAAACTTGTTAGCAAACAGGCTAGGTGAATTAATTAGCCATTTTAAGTCTCCATTTCCATAGATACAAATGCCATGTACATAGTGGCCTGTGAAGGAGAAGACAAAAATAGTTAAAGCATGCTTATTTTCAAAAGTTGAGGGTGGCGAACTAATGGAGAGGGTAGCTGAAAATCAAATGTGACACATTTCTGATGAAGACAATTGGACTGCCCCATCCCACTAGATACAAATATGTATTTGTATAAGGTGAGCATCAAACAATACAAGAAAAGAGTATAACAGGTATCACAAAGCAATTTCCACATTAGTGAATGAGAGCCCTAGGTGAGAGGTTCTAGAAGCTCATGGACAGGAAAGGTCCTGGGTGTGTCTCTTCTCCGAGTTCTGTTGGAGCCTGTGAAAGTATCGCTTCACTTAGATACTCTGTCTTACCACAAAGTACGTCAACACTGAACTCTTTTTATTTTTGGTCTTTTTGAGACAGGGTCTCCCTATAGCCCCAGCTGTCCTGGAACTCACTATGTACACCAGGCTGGCCTTGAACTCACACAGATCTGCCTACCTCTGCCTCCCGAGTGCTGGGATTAAAGGTGTGCGCCACCATGCTGAACTCTTAATCTAGTTTGTGAGACAGGGTCTCTCTATGTAGCTCAGGCTGGCCTGGAACTTGCAACCCTCCTGCCTCAGTCTCCCTAGCTCTGGGAGTACAGGTGTGCACTACTGTACTAGACTAGCACGGAAGTTCTTAATCTCTTCCTGACAATCCCTGTGCTCTCCTCCTCTAACCCCATCCTCTATCAGATATGCACAGCTCAGCCCTGGATTCTGCCTCAAAGTCACTTCCCTCATCACTTACCCCTCATTCATGTGTGATTGTACTTAGTACCAATTGGTGTGTGTATACAGGCTCACGTGCAAACATACAGGAACACTCAGACGTGTGTATATCTTATGCATATAAACATCATACAACGTAATTATACATAAATCTTCTATAGCCTATATTTTATTTATATTTTATAAATATTATTTTAAAATACATAAATAAGACTATCACACAGAATGACCATTTTATGATATATATGACATATCAGTTTACATGTAAATGTTTCATACATATGAAAGGAAGGAAAGGAACATTTCTGGTCTCTCTCTTTCTAGACATTGTGTTGCTGCTCAGACCAGACAACACACTCCAGAAAAGCAGGGACTTTAGACCATTTGGCTCTCTTCTGTATCCTTTGCATTTGGAACAAAGGCTGGTAAAAAGCATTATATCAACTGCAGAGTGAAAGGACAGCAAAGGCTGAGTGGATGGGTCTGTCTGGGAAACATCAGGGCAATATCTCTGGAAAGATTGTAGAAAATTTCTGCTCAAATAGGAAATTCTGTTGGAGCTGAATTAGAAACAAGAGCAATTGAAAATTGGAATTATTTCAAAGTACTTCACCTCCGTTGGTAAGACTGGGAATGTCTGCACTATTCAAACTTATCTTTAAGACATATGTGGCGAAGCCTCAGACTTCTCCGAAAACCAGCAGATCAGTCAATAGCTCCGTTTTCTCTGTGTGAGAGCCCATCTATCCATTTTACACAATCATCCTCATGCCAACACCAACAGGTGGTATGGCCTCAGTGAGAGAGATGATGCCTTACCATGGCAACCTCCATGTTTGTCCTCCATGTCCATCCACTTGACAGCTCTGAGGTTGCCGGTCCAGGATGCATTTGGCATGGCACCAGGGACTCCTGCAGTAGTGATAACGAACAGAGATGAGGACCACAAAGGACATTTCCAGCATTCAGTCTCCAAATCTCCTCGTCCACCTTCCGACTCTAACGTTCACTCTGATTGCTATGCCACCATCCACTTCATGGTCCTTACAACTGATTTTGTCAACCAAACTTAGAGCTGCTGACTCATATCTACTTAGTATAGTATGTAATTTGATCAATATAGTAATCAATTATAAATACAACTATAATCAATATACTAGTACCAAATTACTAATTAGATATTAATATAATACCTACTTAAAAAAAAAAAACCCGCTGGGTGTGGTGGCTCACACCTTTAATCCCAGCACTTGGGGAGCAGAGGCAGGTGGATCTCTTTGAGTTCAAGGTCAGCCTGGTCTACATACTGAGTTCCAGGCCAGCTGGGGCTACAGGGAAACCTTGCCTCAAAAACAAAACAGAACAAAAAAAATTTTTAAAAACCCCACTGCTTTATTTTTTTATGTGTATGAATGTTTTGCCTGCATGTATATAAATGCACTATGTGCATGAAATGCCCAAGAAGGCCAGAAGAGGGAGTCAGATCCCCTGGAACTAGAAATTTCAGACAGTTGTTAGCTGACATGTGGGTACTGGGAATTGAACCTGGTCCTCTGCATGAACAGCTAGTGCTCTTAACCACTGAGCCATACTTCCAGCTCCAATACCTGCTTTTAAAAAATATGGAGTTATCCTCAAAAACAAAGTTGAGGGAGGGGTGTTTAGGTTGCTATCTTTCCTTGCCAAGGTCTCTCCATGCTGGTACCCAGCTTTGTGGGTGGAGCTGACCTGTGTGGGTAGGACAGTTACCCCTGGGGGCTTCCCCAACAGATAGCAATAGTACTCTCCTAAATGTGACAATCAAAAATGTCTGCAGATATTGCCTCATGTCCTATGGGGGAGCAAATGCAGTGGTAAGGCATCTCAATACTCAACAAATTTTGGGTGGGTCACGAAGTGAAATGGCCCACTTAATCATATAGGGAATTCAGTACTGGAAAGAGAGGAGTGTGTTAGAATCCAGACCCCCCCCCCCCGAGACCCCTGAGACCTTTCAGAGTGTGTATGGGAACCAATACAAACATAAATAAGAGAGCAATTCTTTTTTTTGTTAAATATTTTATTTTTATTTTATGTGTATGTGTGTTTTGCCTGCATGTAGGTAAGTGCACCACTTGTGTGCAATGCCCACAGCAGAGGTCAGAAGAGGGCGTCAGATCCTCTGGAGGTATGGATGGTTGTTAGCCGCCATGTGGGTTCTGGGAATCGAATCCAGGTCCTCTGCAAGATCAGCCAGTACTCTTAACTGCTGAGCCATCTCTCCAGCCCCTAAGAGAGGAATTCTTAGCTTCATATGAGCTGCAGCATTTCACCACTGACAGTTTGAATAAAATTTTGATGTAATGATCCCACACAAATATCTGTACTCAGATTGTATCGTTTCTCTCTTAGAAGATTCCAAAATGATAAAATACTTTCGTAGGAAGGATAACATCCCCATCTCTACATACACATGCACACAGCACATACACACATACACATGTCCACATTCTAATCCCTGTGACCTGATAATACGCTACATTGCAGAGCAAAGAGTTATGAGAGTTGCTATTCAGCTGTATTTCAAATAAATTATCCCGAGTTATTTGGGCAGGTGCAATTTAATCACAGGAGTCAGTAATGTTACCAGAGTTTTAGGGCAAAAGTTCCAGCTCTGGAGTCCCAACAGGCGAGGCTCAGATATCCATCCCAATACACCAGTTAAAGAGTGCAGTGGTGGTCAAATGGCAGAGAAAGGAGATTTCATACATATAGTCACATTGGGATGTACAGAGAAAGTAGTCTAGTAACCCCAAGTCCATCTTCAGTGTTGGGACACTGACTTGAGTTTTAGGTTTAAACAGAGAAGTAGGGTGGGGTTACGGGGTAAGAGGCATGCATAATTAAGCAGTCTTTGTCAAGGCAGGGGCTGGTTGATCATTATCTTAGCTCTGGTTCTGCAAGCAATCTGGAGGAAGTCTTTATTGCTTGGGAAGGTAAAGTCAGTTCCCAAGAGATGGTTGCTGCTGTTTGGGAGGTGATATCACCATGGTGTGAAGAGATTTATGAGCCTCTGCTGTTCCTGTCAAACTGTCAGTGGTGAGAAATGCTGCAGCTCATATGAAGCTAAGAATTCCTCTCTTAGGGGCTGGAGAGATGGCTCAGCAGTTAAGAGTACTGGCTGATCTTGCAGAGGACCTGGGTTCGATTCCCAGAACCCACATGGCAGCTAACAACCATCCATACCTCCAGAGGATCTGACGCCCTCTTCTGACCTCTACAGCATTGCACACATGTGGTGCACTTATATATATGCAGGCAAAACACTCATACACATAAAATAAAAATAAATAAAATATTTAACAAAAGCTGCTTGGGGGTCACGACCATTGCTGGAGACTTTGGGCCACGTTTTGGGGTGGGTCTGGAACAGGATGTTGTAAAAGCTGACAGTAAGATACCTGCCTTCAGCCTCAGGGAAGATGAGACCAGGGCACGCCTTAAGTGATTAACATGCCTAGATGCAGAGTCAGGCAGGTGACAAAACCCAAGTAAATGAGTCAGGTACAAGTGAAGGCACAGCGGCCAGCCTGAAGCCAGCGCTTTTCAGCAAACCAGCTTCTCAAACCTGGTACAGTAACAGCAGAAGACAGAGGCTGAAGAGTTGGCTAGGCATGGCAGTTTGATGTAAGGGAAGAGCCCCAGCAAGGAATGTGGCGGCCTCTAGCAGCAGAAAAGAGAGAAGACGGCCAGTTACTGGCCCTCTGGTCTGTTCTGGAGGGTGGTGTGACAACTTGTTAGAACTGTGTGAAATCTCTTCCTAGGAGGCAAGTTCCTCCTCTGGCTGGCACCAAGACCTCAGCCTTTCCCTTCCCCCAGCATGGGATTCCTGGGGAAATTTGCTTCCAAGTCAAATGCCTGAAGGGAGGGCTTATGTGTCTCTTATCTTTTCTCTAGGCAGGACCATAAGAATGCAATCTATTATAGTCTGAAGTAGAAAAATAATTACTGAAGAAGATGGTATTTTTCAATAAGAAACGACCCAAACTTTGAAAGAAAATTTAACAGGATTGAACATTAAAAACTGTGTATTTCAGGAGAAAGACACTCTGTTCTTTTGACCTAAGGTCATATGATAATTATATGATGATCTAAATCTAGAATTGTACCCAAGTCTCCCAACTAAAATTAAATGCTGCCACAATCTTTTCTATAAATAGTGTAGATTTGGGGGGCGGGGTTTGCTTCCCAAACTTGAAAGTATCCAAGAAAAGTACTCAATATAGTGTTGTTCCCTGCTTTAACTTGTATTTTAGGACTTTTAAAGTGGCTGCAGTGCTTGCCTACCCAAAAAAGAAGCTTCCTTGCTTTGCTCTTAATACACATTTTAAAAAATAATTTAGATTGAAAAAGAGAATTTAGATTAAAACTTGCCTGGGGGTTAGGGATAGGGAGCTTGGAGAGAATTCAGTTTATTTTACTTTGATCAAGCTGATCTGTGTGTGGTGTTTATGAGTCTATTCAGACTACTATTCAGAAAACTATGAATCAAACACTTCCGATAATGCACCTCTTACCTTTTAAGTCAGTGCATTTTTGAGAAGACATTTTCCTCTCCCATGTTCATTAATATTGATTATCACAGACTGGCACATTGAGAAACACCTTCTATTATTCCAGAGATAAAGGCCATGGCATTTATAATTAATGTCCCCTATCTTTTGAGTAGATACTAACACCCATTAATCCCCAGCTAATGAAATTCCAAACACCAACTTCTATACTTTGAGTCTGATGACAGGCATCAAACATATTTGGTTAAATATAATTGGTAGCTCGATCCTGGGGTAGCTGGGCATGGTGGCACCTTTGATCCCAGCACTTGGGAGGCAGAGACTGGTTTATATAATGAGTTCCAGCTAGGGCTACAAAGTGAGAGAGTCCTTGAAAAGATAAAACGTGGGCATAGAAATATATAGATGAAATAGGCTTAGCTCCAGGAATATAGCTATTCCAGCGTGGCTCTTGACCAGGGCTAGCACTTTCCTAGGATCTGAGTGGGAGAAACTACGAGCAACATTGTGAAGGGATTGCACACACCACCACCACTTTCCTTTCCCTTGTTTCTCCTCGCCTTGAGATTCTTCATCGCATGTCTAGCTTAGTCTCTTTCTGTCCTTTCTCACTCAAAATCTGCTTCAGGGATCAAATCTAGCATTTTTCTGTCCTTTGTTCAATTTAATTAAGTTGTCCCCACTGCTGGAATATGTATGCTCACTTTTCATTTTCTGAAGCACGGGGATGAAAACCAGGGCTCTGCACATGCTAGGCTATCCGGGCAGCCCTTTTTTTTTTTTCATTTTTCTAAATTTTTTTGATTTATTTATTTATTTTTATTTTATGTGTATAAGTGTTTTGCCTGCATGTGTGTAAGTGTACCACCTGCGTACAATGCCCACGAAGGTCAGAAGAGGACATCAGATCCCATGGAACTGGAGCTAACAGTTGTTAGCTGCTACATGCATGGGTGCTGGGAACCAAACCCAGGTCCTCTGCAACAGCAGTCAGTGCTCTTAACCTCTGAGCCAATTCTCCAGACATTTTTTTAGCCATGGTCTCTTTACATAACCATGGCTGGCCTAGAACTCAGAATGTATACCTGGTTGGCTTCAAACTCGTAGAGATCCTCCAGTGCTGGGATTAAAGGTATGCATGGCTAACCTTGCATTTTAATAGATCTCTTAAACTAACTCATTGAAACAGCAGCCCACATACTATGGGAAAAGCAAGGTTCAGCACTGGGCTCAGTGACTTAGATGACACAACATTTAGCCAGCAGGAGGCAGGAGGGTGGCAAGTTCAATGCCTGCCTGGGTTACATGGTTAGTTCAAGGCCAGCCTGTGAAACCTAGGGAGACCTTATCTCAAAATAA